TATAGTCGAATGTTATTAGTTGGTACATTACATACAATATGAATAATCAATTTTATGAGGTTGGCAGCACTTCTACACAACCAGTTTGTATACACGTTACCTACTGGTGCGTTGGTAACACTTAGCACCAGAAAGTTTGTCTTTGTAACTCGTCCTATTTAAATGACAGTACTTAAACTGTTTGGAAGAAGCAGTACTCAGTTCAAGCAGAGTACTAATGGCTCTGCCATCGTTTCCAGAAGTTGCTCTGTCCCTTTTGAGTGCAGTTTCAAGTTCCAATAGAGATATGCCATATAAGTCATCTGGATCCATTTCACTGTAGACAATTTCAGTATTACAATTTCCAGTGATATTGCTAGCAAGCTGAAATATTGTGTGAGGCAGATATGGTTTACTCGAAGAGCTTCCATACTATTAAAAATATATCGGCATAAGCTGGTGGTGAGCAAATTGAGGCGTGTTAGGTTTGAGATTTAAATTTTGGACCAGATTTGGCGGTAGATATTGCATGGTTAATGCCTTGCTAGAATTGTTGGCAGTATTGACTATCTAGCTCTTCTCTCAGTTCCCTGAAAGTGCGGCATGCTTGGAGAAATGTATTGAGCGGCTCTGTTTTGTGTGTTCTATAATGTTCTGCTAAATATATTACATGATCATGCATGGACTTCAGAAGTGTCACAAAATTAATGCTGCCCCTCTATTTTTAGTTCTTGATCATTTAGGTTTCACCCGTTTAGCATGGTGTTAAACGTTTAACATTCATTGACAAGGTCCTCGTATAAAGCATTGACATTTGTAAATGTGCAAAATTTGTACCAATCGTATATTTTATGCTTGAAGTGCTTGTGTAAATTGTTATGGGTGTTAATTTTTGTTCTGTCATAATTTTGTAATTTGGCATGTTTAAGGATGTATGTGCCTAATAAGGCATAATGAGTACTAATTAGCTTTTGCACTGGCGATTCGTGGACAGCGTTGCCTATAGGCCATGACCAATTACATAATAAGTAAAAGTAGTAAGTAAAGTAAATTTTATTCAGGAAAGTACATACATAGTTGATTTACAAACATAATGTTGGATTTATAGATAGAGTTAGTACATACAATACCTAAAGGTATAACGTTTTCCATTCAAAGTGGACGGTTCAGATCAAAGACAGTCATTTTGTTTCAGTTATTTTGCAAACGTTGAACCATTTATTTTGATTGTTTTATCATCCCAGATCTCTGGATTTTATCAAATCCAGAGATTCCATCACAATGGTTGTACTCTTCAAATCACTTGTGTTGTCCCGTCTTGAATACTGCTCAGTGCTCACTTCCCCCTTCAGAGGAGGAGAGATTGCTGAAATAGAGGGAATACAGAGAACATGTACGGCACGCATAGATGCAATAAAGCACCTAAATTATTGGGATCGTCTCAAAGCTCTCCAAATGTACTCACTAGAAAGAAGACGAGAGAGATACCAAATAATATACACATGGAAAATACTGGAGGGCCAGGTCCCTAATCTACACAGTAAAATAACAACGTACTGGAGTGGACGATATGGAAGAAAATGCAGAATAGAACCAGTGAAGAGCAGAGGTGCCATAGGCACAGAGAACACTGTATAAACATCAGAGGTGCCATAGGCACAATCAGAGAACACTGTATAAACATCAGAGGTCCGCGGTTGTTCACCGTCCTCCCAACGACTATAAGAAATATTGCCGGAACAACCGTGGACATTTTCAAGAGAAAACTAGACTGTTTTCTTCAAGGAGTACCGGACCAACCGGGTTGGGGTGGATATGTGGGCATGCGGGCCGCTCCAAGCAACAGCCTGGTGGATCAAGATTTTTTAGATTTTGTCCCGAGGGGCGAGTTTATTGGGCAGCGCCACTCATCTTGTGAGTGGACATACCGCCATAGCAGCATGTACAACACTCTCCAAAAGGAAGAAAACCCGCTGGGTTTGTTCATCCTGTCACTTGTACCCAGACACAGCTGGGACTTGCTTAATTGGCTCAAGTGAACAGCTCCTCAAACAAGAAAATTAACATCTGTCAACCCTTATAAAAGCTTACGTTATCTTGCGGGTGCAAAATGGGGGAATCTTTTAAGAATAGTATCAATATTTGACAGTGTTTTCCTAATTCAAACGATGTGGGGTTTATTATTCTACACATACTTCTAATGTCTCTCAGGTGTTCACATTCACGTAGATAGTGTTCAAGGCGGTGTCCATCACTCTCCTCACAGATTCTGCAACTTCGCTGATCAACAATTGTCTCCATTCCGTATCTCCATGGATATTTGTATCCAAGACGGATTCTCGCTATTAATGATTCTCTCCCGCGTCCTCCTCCTCTTCATCCATAATGATTGGGATTGCCAGCTGCAACCATGTTGTACCATCGTACGGATTCACTGGTTTGTGCTTCTATCCTCCTTTCCTCAGTTACCTTGTCACGGTGATGTTGCCTGATAATACCTCTAATTTGTAGTAGAGTCTTGGGTATTAAGTATTCAATATGGTCTCCTTCAGCGCCTTCAACAGCCAGCACATCTGCTCGTTCATTCCCACATACTCCAACATGGGAGGGGATCCACAGAAACTTGACGACTCTTCCCTGATTGGTAAGTACTCTCACAGCTCTCTTAATTTCAGCGACTATTGCAAAATTTTCTGCCCGCTTTTTACTTAGGCTTCGAAGTGCTGCTTTTGAATCGAACTCTCACAAGTCAAATCTGGCCTCGGGCCGGGCTTGGGGAGTCGAACAACTCCCAGAACCCCATCAAGCAGGTATCAACCAGGTATCCCCTAAGTTGATGTGTCGTGCGTTAAAGTCACCCATTATGAAGGTTTCCGAGCCATTATTGATTAAGGGAAGAGATGTCCTCATCATTTTGTAACACCTCGCATAATGTTGGAGATAGAAAGACCCATTCCCTATGAATATCTGAAACTTGTGATGATTTTTAACATGTCTGCAGACACTTTTGGTACATGTGAGTATGCCTACATGACGAGGCATACTTTCACGTTCCTGTTCTATACGGCATTTATCTGAATATATCTGAGGACCCCCCATCACTTTAGTGGCTTCGACGAGGACATAAAGCCGGCGGCTTGTTGAAAGTTCGCTCATTTGTCCTAATGATTTTATCCAGCTGGATTTCAAACTGCAGCAAGGTTTTGGCATTTACGACTTCGGGGGTAGGCGGTTCCATAATACCTACCCATATGTACTGTATGGTACAGGTGTACTGTAAACCAACTGGTACAGTTGCCGTAAATGGAGCAGTTGGTAGTAGTGATGTGATAAGTTATTTAAGTACGCGTTTCCAATCATTTTCAAATTTATAGAGGCGGGTGCTGGACTGATGTTTGTATCACGAGTGATTCCAATCTTCGCTAGAAAACTTTAAAAACATCTGGCCTTGATAAACACTCATTTTTGCCTTGGGCAAGACAAAAAAATATTTTTTAGGTACTCAAAAGTGTGTTGCTGCCCTATTCTATAAGAGAGATTACAGATTATTTGTAAATGACTATTGTGAAGCTAAGTATAGGTTACAGTAAGACTGAGAGGGACGCCAAAGGATATTTATACGCAAAGAATTTACGGACATTGACAAATTACGAGACTGAAATAATTGTTTATCCAGGGTTTGACATTTGTAATACAAAGTGTGAAATGGCAAACCGAATTTATACTTTACCAGATGTACCCTCCAGATGTTACCCTCCAAAGGATACCTGATCAACCAGGCTGTGACTCATATGTCAGGCTGCGAGCAGCCGCGTCCAACAGCCTGGTTGATCAGTCCAGCAACCAGGAGGCCTGGTCGACGACCGGGCCGCGGGGACGCTAAGCCCCGGAAGCACCTCCAAGTATGTAATTCAAATTCAAAATTCAAAATTCAAATTCAAATGATCTCTTGCATCTGCATCTCTTGCAACGAATAAAACGTCTTTATTCGCAATATCATCCCTGTGATGATGGTACCGATGTCTCATCATCCTCGCTGTTTTTTTTCAAATAATTATTACGTCACCGTTCTTAGTACATGTTTGTAAAAGCTGTACGATAATGGCCATAATGTTTTTGGGTAGCCTCGGGTCCGACACAATAGATATTCGATAAATGGATCCATTTGCTATGCGATTCAATTATTAACAGCTCAATATATTGACACGAAACGTATTAGAGATTCATTCTTTTCCGTTCCATTATATCAAGAGCTATTGTTGTAAGGCGTTTATGACAGCAACAATAGCTCTCTAACAGCATGGCTGTTGTCGTACCTGTTGATGGTGCTGGTATTGAAGGTGGTGCATATGAGGAATGGCTTATCACTGGTGTGGTCTGAGACCATGATTATTTATAAATTATATATTTTGTGACGTAAAAGTGGAAGAATAGACCAGTGGCTATTCTGGCTGGTGTTATGCCAACCACATTAAATAAAAAAAAGTAAAACAAAGTAAATAAAACTGCTTCTGGCCTCTTTACGGTGTGAGAGCTGCGGGTAAAATCCAAAAGAATTAAAAACCTTAAGTATTTAATATAACAAAAATTACTTTAACAACAAATAAAACAATTCCCATATTCTACTTGGCATTACCACAATACAAAATGCAAAAGAAATATAAACAAACATGTGACAGTTACGTTAATGGGAAAGAGAAGTGTAAGACACAATATACAAGAGCTGTACGCATTTACTGGTTCCTGGGAAGGCCACAGTAGATGTTACGGCTGTGAGAGCACGAAGGATATTCAGAGGTTTGGCCGATTGATGAAGATTAAGCCACCCAAAAGGTGGCACGGGCAGGAATAGCCCGTAAGTGGTGGCCCTTTTGAGCCATTACCAGTATCACTAGTTGATACTAGAGATCTGTGGAGGTGCGACTGCACCCTGCTTGACGGGAGATGTCTCCCGTGGAGGTCTGGCCGGTGGTGAGCTGCTTATAGATGCGGCCAGGCCTAGTGTAGATGCTTTAAAGTTATTCGTTTAATATCTTTCAGTTTAACTTCTGGCCTGCATAGTTAAGATGGGAAGATCAACTTTGCTGTGTGTGTTGCTGTGTTGGACTCTTCTGTGTGAGTGTCAGTCAGACAGGAGTCAAGCCAGTACATCAAGATGCTGGACTACTGTACACGACGAAGACCCCCCGCCGGCGTCAGCACCCGAGGACTTCGCCATGATGGCGCGATACGTTGTCGAGTTCGCTAAACTGATAAATGTGAACGAAATATATTTTTGCGTGACGCAAGAATCCGGTAAGTTTACCTGTCGGGTAATTATGATTCCTATGTTATTTAACGCAGTTACCACATGCTTGTAGAGTCCCCAGGCCAAGTTAGTCTTGATAGGCTAGTTACACAGTTTAATATATATAATATCAACAACGGGTTCAAGGATGACCACAAGTACAGTCTCTCATCTACGTAAACAATCCATCTATCCATCGCAACTCGGTTGAGCACCCCTTGATCTCTTGCGGTAAAAAAAAACTGAAGCTTGTCTTTTATTCTAATGGGTTCCACTTAAGCTTGCGGCCTGCCATCTAGTGGTAAAGATTGTAAGTATTGTGGGAGAGTTACCATGATGCACCTTTACTAATATTACCCTCATTTTATGTGTACTCACTGTACACATACTTATGTACTCACTGTGTGGGGGTGGGTTCCCTGTGCTAGTGGACTTGTAGGTGTTTATTGGTTCTGTCGTTATCTTCCCTTAACCCCCAGCTCTCACCACCACCCTCACTCTGACTCGCATCATCATTCCTTAACCACACACGCTCTTGTTGCCACTCCCCTTCCCCGGAGGCGCTCTTGTTACCATCTCGAAGGATGAAAAAAAAAACAAGGCCCATGTTGAAGTAAAAAAAAGCCAACCCTCCTAACCCCGCCACCAGAGCCCCTGACGATATACCCAACACCTCAGCTCCCACCAACCAACCAGAAGACTTTCCAGTCTTACCAACAGTGGTTCCTCCCCACCAGTCGACCCATCCTTCACAATGGGGACCCAAGGTCCAACCAGCACCCCTCGCCGCCCCTTGCATCATGTGCAGGCATTATCCCTGGCCTCATACGACTGGCGGAGAGGCTTGCCGGACCACCACCGATTCATCAGGGAACTGAATGTGCTGTACATAGCCAATGGCCTGGACCCCATCACAGCCCCTGACGCAAGTCTCACTACCTCCCTCCCATACCACACAGGGGACTTCCACAAGGTCGACCAGTAGGAAAGGGAACTATCAGAAGAAAGCGCCAAGCCATTACGACTATATAGCACTTGGAAGGGGGTCAGGATAAGGATTTGGGATGGGACGGGGTAAGGAATGGTACCCAACCACTTGGACGGTCGGGGATTGATCGTCGACCTGCATGAAGCGAGACCGTCGCTAATGCTCTCGCTCCCCATGGAGTTTACACATTCACGATTCCCCATCGAGCCGCCACGCTCTCCCGCATAGAGCTCCACGACTCCGGCCTCACTCAGCTCTGCCCTGCTCCAAGCTCCGTCTGAACGTCAACGACAATGCCAACAACCGACTACTGTAATCAAGACTACTAAATAGATATGAAACTTTCTAAACACGGTGTATCTAATCTACCGAACAACGTAACATAATCGTACGTTACAGACGGCACGGAGACCTTGTGGAAATGAGCACAAGAGTGCTCCCAATTTATCTAAATCATTTCCTCGTAAGGAGGAAATTGATTACCATCTCTGATTGCCTCTGAGCAGCCTGGGGGCAGCAATAAACCGTGAAAATAAAGAAATTCTAGTTGACTTGAGGCAAAGTTAAATAATTAATAATAATTATTATTGCTAAAATTATTAATAAGGCTCTATAGTTCACCTATTGTGTACATAGCTACCACTTATGGCTCCTTATTTTAGTATTTTGGATGGTTTTAAGGCTTAATAATGAAGGTTGTAGTGAAGTTGTCAGCAAAGTCTCCATTTTGTGTCAACTAATGTTTCAACCCAAGAATTAAACCACTATCCTACAGTGCATCCTGTTAGAGGTTAGCACTTAGGAGAAATCTTGGTGCTTCTCAGTAAATTATAATAAGCACTCATAAATTAATGCATATAATAATAATGCTTTTGCTGAAAAATATTATTTACAATAGTGGAGGCTTTGATAATCTGAAGCGAAAATAAAAGAAAATGAATTGTTGGAACCTCCACAGAAAACGATATAACCTTGGAATGTCTATAGGGTATACTACTGCAAACAGGATAGATTCCAAGTCTGAAAATGTGTATGGGGTCCACTACCACCCAAAAGGATAGGTATAGGTACTTAAAATAGCATACCTATGGCACTTATACTAACATATGTAAGGTACTTATAATTGCATATGAGTGGTACTTATAAAGGTATACATATGGTAAATATAAAGGCATATGTATGGTACTTTTAATGACATTTGTATGGTACTTATAATTGCATATTTATGGTACTTATAATGGCATGTGTATGGTACATATAACTGCATACCTATGACACTTATAACGGCATATGTATAATACTTATAATTGCATATGAATGTTACTTATAAAGGCATATGTATGGTAATTATAAAGTCATATGTATGGTACTTATAATGACATACGTATGGTAATTATAAAGGTATATGTATGGTACTTATAATGGCATACGTATGGTACTTATAAAGGCATATGTATGGTAATTATAATCAATACGTATAGTACATATTAGATCATATGTATGGTACTTAAAATATATGTACGGTACTTATATGGGCATCTGTATGGTACTTATAAGGTCATATGTATGGTTCTTATAAGGTCATATGTATAGTACTTATAAGGTCATGTATGGTATATATAAGGTCATATGTATGGTACTTTTAAGGTCATATGTATAGTACACATAAGGTCATATGTATGGTACTTTTAAGGTCATATGTAAGGTACATATAAGTTCATATGTAAGGTACATATAAGGTCATATGTATGGTACTTATAAGGACATTTGTATGTTACTTATAAGGTCATATGTAGGGTACATATAAGGTCATATGTATGGTACTTATAAGGTCATATGTATTGTACTTATAAGTCCATATGTAAAGTACATATAAGTTCATATGTAAGGTACATATAAGGTCATATGTATGGTACTTATAAGATCATATGTATTGTACTTATAAGGTCACTTGTATGGAACTTATAAGGTCATATGTATGGTACTTATAAGGACATTTGTATGGAACTTATAAGGTCATACGTATGGTACTTATAAGGTCATATGTATTGTACTTATAAGGTCATATGTATTGTACTTATAAAGTCATATGTATTGTACTTAAAAGGTCATATGTATGGTACTTATAAGGTGATATGTATGGTACTTATATGGACATGTGTATGATACTTATAAGGTCATATGTATGATACTTATAAGGTCATATGTATTGTACTTATAAGATCATATGTATTGTACTTATTAAGTCATATGCATTGTACTTATAAGGTCATATGTAAGGTACATATAAGGTCATATGTATGGTACTTATAAGGTCATATGTACGGAACTTATAAGGTCATATGTAAGGTACATATAAGGTCATATGTATGGTACTTATAAGTTCATATGTAAGGTACATATAAGGTCATATATATGGTAACCTCTTAACGTTTCCCAACGTCAACTAAACGGTGACTTTAATGTGCCCTCTCCTAACCTACCAGAGGACGTAAAACAGAAAACGGGATACTACGTCACTTTCGCCAGCCGCTTCCATTTTCTGCCAAACAGCCCAGTCGACGGGGAAGAATCCCAGCCCAGGCAAAATCTTCATTTTTCTCAAAACTCAAAATCAAAACCAGCCATAGAATCGTTTTGAAAATGTTACCATTGTGTTTACCGCAATAATTTATATTTTTGTTCTGTTAAGTCTTTCTTTCCTAATTTTCAATATTAAGGCTTTAACAGCCATATTTACTGAGATACAGCCAACTCAAATATCAAATTTATCATCGTGATTTCTCAACATATTACCAAGGAAAATGAGTTGAAAAACATGTAATAATAATTATAATGAGCTAAATAAAAAATGGGTATTAAAAATAAAGTATTTTAATAATCTTTATTTACTTAGAGATGATTTCGAATGATATTTATATGGATATATATATATGGTACTTATAATGGCATACGTTTGGTACTTATAAAGGCATATGTATGGTACTTATAAAGTCATATGTATGGTACTTAAAATGGCATATGTATGGTACTTATAAAGACATGATGGTACTTATAATGACATATGTGTGGTACTGATAATAGCATACGTATGGTATTTATTATGGCATAAGTATGGTACGTTTCCCAACGTCAAGAAAACGGTAACTTTAAAGTGCCTTTCCTAACCTACCAGAGGACGTAAAACAGAAAACGGGACAGTACGAAAAGAAAGAAGAAAATGTAGAATAGAACCAATGAAGAGCAGAGGTGCCATAGGCACAATCAGAGAACACTGTATAAACATCAGAGGTCCGCGGTTGTTCAACGTCCTCCCAGCAAGCATAAGAAATATTGCCGGAACAACCGTGGACATTTTCAAGGGGAAACTAGATTTATTCCTCCAAGGAGTGCCGGACCAACCGGGCTGTGGTGGGTATGTGGGCCTGCGGGCCGCTCCAAGCAACAGCCCGGTGGACCAAACTCTCACAAGTCGAGCCTGGCCTCGGGCCGGGCTTGGGGAGTAGAAGAACTCCCAGAACCCCATCAACCAGGTATCAACCAGTACGTCACTTTCGCCAGCCGCTTCCATTTTCTGCCAAACAGCCCAGTCGACTGGGAAGAATCATAGCCCGGGCGAAATCTTCATTTTTCTCAAAACTCAAAATCAAAACCAGCCATAGAATCGTTTTGAAAATGTTACCATTGTGTTTACCGCAATAATTTGTTTTTCTTTCTATTAAGTCTTTCTTTAATAATTTTCAATATTAAGGCTTTAACAGCCATATTTACTGAGATACAGCCAACTCAAATATCAAACTTATCATCGTGTTTTCTCAACATATTACTAAGGAAAATGAGTTGAAAGACATGTAATAATACTTATAATGAGATAAATAAAAAATGGGTATTAAAAATAAAGTCATTTTAATAATCTTTATTTACTTAGAGATGATTTCGAATGATATTTATGTGGGTATATATTTGGTACTTATAATGGCATACGTTTGGTACTTATAAAGGCATGTGTATGGTACTTAT